CCGTTTGGGGTCCAACGGCTTTTCCACCAACCTCTCATCCATTGGTTCAGGCTCCTCTTCAGCGGGTTCTTCACCAATGGGATTCTCATCATCGTCATAGACCTCAATCGCTTCTTCAGCCGGCGAAGCAGGCAGAGGAATCATGGGTCGTGGTCCCCCCGACCGCTGATTTGTATCGTAAAGTTGACCTATGGCTGACATCGCAACACCGGTTGTAGATGGCAGGTATGGAACATAGTCATCTACTTCAAGTGTGACCTTAGTACCATCTGGTTTCTTGAAGTATGGTCTGCTATAAGCTGGCCAATGAAAGCTCCAACCTGCATCGATGCAACGTTGTCCCACAGACACGACGGCTGGACTGCCGTCTAAGACATACGGGTTGATGTCATCACCCAAAATGGGAACGTTAACTCTTGCTTGGTCAGTGGCTTGAAAGACTCCGTTGGCTGTAAGAAGACTTACCGGTTTGGATGACTGTGACACCTCATCGGAATGGAGCATGTGCCTAGACACAAGATCGTGAGCGCTGCCCGTGTCTGCTATCCAAGCAATCTCAGTGGCAGGCACCGAGATCGATGGCCTCTTCCCAAAACACTTGACGCAACCAATGTCGGAGTTGCACAGGTACGAACATTCTGCCGGTACGGGCAAAAGTTCATTCCTTACAGCGTTCTGGAGATGTGAGGCTGCAATGGAAGCATCTTCAGTGGCAACTCGAACAGCTTCATTGTACTCCGGTCGATTTGGTGTGAAAGCCTTCCGTTTCTTCTTACTTCGGGGTTGAACAGACCTCCAACTGGAAGAAGACTCAACAGCATGACTAAAAACATTTGGTTGATCATCAAAACGAACTTGCTGTCTAACAAAACTGTCAATGTTTTCTGTGTTGTCAAAATCGGTGCATAATGCGTTTGAAGCGGAAAGGACCGGCATGGCCACGCTTCCCAGCGGGCGTGTGACGAGGACGGAGGATCCCTGAGAGACCACTGCGGCCATGACCACCGCTCGAAGGAGGCAGACTGCTGCCGGTGCGTTGGAAGAAGAAGACTTCCCACCTTTTCTCCGCTGACTCTCAGAGCCAGTTGAGTTGTCGGAGCCTGACGATCCTCGCGAACTGCTTCGCTTGCGAGGCTTCTTGTCTTTCTTCTTCTTCTTCTTCTTCTTTTTGCCCTCTTTCTTTGCAGGGACGGTCTTCTCAGGGTGTTGGAATGCGCAGTCTTTTCCTCGGCGGCAATGTCCTGCCTTCCAGAATTTGCAAGTCTCCTTGCGGGACCCTGGAGTCAGTGACCTCGATCGAGACTGGCTGCGATCCTTACCCTTTCCCTTTCCTTTGCTCTTTTCACGGCCTTTTTCGTGCTTGTATGGACATGAGGATCCGCGCTTGCATTTACCGGTCTTTTGGCAATCAAAGCACACACCTGTCTTGTCATCTGGAGCTGGCAGTGCGACATCCTTGGCACCGAGGAAGCGCTTAGTGGCATCCCTCGTCTTTTCGAGCCTCTTCCTCTCGAGATATGCCCGAGCAGCAGTGATGAGAAAGTCATAAGATCTCTCTTTGCTGCCTTCCGCAGCGCGATCGTATAGGGCAAGATCATGTTCGAGAGGCTTGAAGCGCTTCACCGCAAGGTGAAAGTAGGCCTCCAGGACATTGTTCTCTGGCTCCTTCTTCATGCCCGCTAACACGCTGTCCCATTTGTTGATGAATCCTTTCAGATCATCATTCACCATTTTGACCGACATGAGGTCTTCGAGGCCGTAAATGGCGCCGCGCCGAATGCTTGTGGCGAAGTACTCGTGGAAGCGGAGTAGCAAATGCCTCCCTTTCACGGGCTTCTCTTCGCGAGCACGCAGTTCCTTGAAGGTTGCGATTTGGCGACCAAGGTCCCCCTCGGCGCAGTTTGTGAGGCTTGCAAGAAGCTTCGCGTCGAGAGTGGCAAAACCTTCGGAATCATCAAGTGCATCAATGGTTTGGGATTCATTATATACTTTCCCAACCCACGATCTTGCATCATCTGTTTTGGCCGAAGCAGCGGCAACGTCGTCCCTCACCTTGATCTTCCAATCTCTGTACTTTTCAGGTGTGGGAAACTTGGGAATGAGAACCTTATCGGCCTCCTTGGCCTTGTTCTCACGGTCTCGGTCTTTCGACTTCTTTTGCTGCTTCTTCGCTCCTTTCTGATGATACGTGCAAGACGCGACGACTCAGAGCTTGAGTCATTGGAATCATCATCACTATTCGATGAACCGGATGAAGACGGAGATGGAGAAGGAGATCGCTTTTTCCTGCGCTCTCTGGAACGGCCCCTCTTTGGGCTCTTGTCCTTCTTCTTCTCCTTCCTCTTTTCCTTTTTGTCCTTGTTGGACTTTCTGTCATTTTCTTCATCCGCGTCTGATGGATGTGGATCGTCATCGCCTTTGATCCCGTGCTTCTCCAATTGAGTGCGAAGACTCGTAGGATGTGAAACTGGGGATACCTGGGATCCAAGTGGCTGGGCTGGTGGCACAGGCACTCGGTTCCCCGAGGCGTTGTCGAATCTTTCTCTTAGGTCCTTGATGATCCGATTCTGTTCTGCGAGTTCTGACCGTAAGGCATCCTCTCTTTGCCTGGCCAATGCGCGTTCGCTCTCAATGACGGCATGTCTTTCGAGCGAAATTCGATCTAAGTAAGCCCTCTGTTCATGAAGTTGTTGGTTCTGGTGGGCTTGACTCATGTCACTTAATCGTTGGTTGGCAATAGCCTCATGTTGTTCCCTCGACTCCTCGATGGCCGCTCTGGCTTGGTTCGCTACGGCATCCCTATATTGCCTAGCTTCATCTGCAACCTGCTGCCCATGTTCGGCCAAAATGGCCTGATGCCTCAGTTCTGCAATCTGAGCTACCTGGGCCGATCGATCTTCGTTGACGAAGAGCGCTTGTTGATGAATCTGTCTCGCATCAACATTCTGAACATTCACCACAGGCGAAAACTCAGGTTGGAAACGCGACGGAGCTTGAACACTGGGCACCAGGTCCCCCTGGGCACTGAACACCGGAGGCTCAATTGGCCCACGCAAGTTCAGCGGAACGACAGGGAGCTCGAGTGCAGGTGAGCTTGACATCGCAGGCGATGTAGGAACATAGCCTGAACGTGAGCGGCCACCACGGGACCTTCATCATCAGCCATGGCCTCTAGACAGTGCACTATCTAGGGTGGGATGAGACCAGGGCTAGTAGCGAGCACGTACCGCACTTATGGCGATACGGCTGATAACCTGTAGTTACAGGTGAACGGCCGACTCCTACCGACTATCGCACCTGTTTTCCTTGAGCCAGAGTAGTAGCGAGTGAGACGTAGTCTATGGTACACTAGCAAGCAACAACAGGTGTCTCTCTCTCTCTCATTCTGGTGGTTTGTTGGACAGCTCTCTATCTATCTCTCTACCTCAGTCTGTCTAACTATCTATCTATCTCCGTCTCTCTCTCTCTCTCTCAGTTGTTCGGTCGGTCGGTAAGTCCGTCCGTCCGTCTATCTACCTGTTCTACTACCATACCCGGCGTACAGAGTACCAAAGGTTTTGCACAACATTAGATAGAAAAACTCTCTGTAGAATGGGATGTCCAACCTTGGCTCTAACTGAAACGCCAAATCATGACTGTAAAGCCATGACATGAGGTGACCAACCTCAAGCAACAAACAAAAATCTGGCAAGTGAGCCTGTGAAATGGCCGGATCAAGCCCCATAGTGGATAAGGATGATGGTAGATGTTTGCCTATGAAATTGACAATCCACCTGACCACAGAAGAGGCTAGGACTATACATGACACAACAGAGAGAAACACAACAGAGAGCCCAACGCAGGAAGGCTTTGGAGACAGTGGGTTTCAGGTCCTTCAGCTGGCAGGCTCAAGGGAGCCAAGAATAACAAAAAGAGTCAAGGAGTCACTCAAAATTTACGGTGCCTCAGAATGGGTCACCTACATGTACAATCCACGCCAAATTAGCTTCTCTATGAAATGGAATCAAATTCAAGATGTCTGATCTTCTATGACCTATGGAGGACCTATTTGAAGATGATCACCCCAGAGAATGCCATATTCAGGTTTTGGTGGTTCCGCAGTTTAAAATGGATACATGAATTGCTTTCCATAGAGGTCAAGGCTCGGCATTTTAGGTGATGTGACTATACAATTGACTAAATGTGCAAAAGTGGGTCCAGGACAAGGGGGAATGCGAAAGAGCAAGCACAAAAATAACAGGGGTTCTGAACACCCGAGCAACCACGACCACCCCAAAGTTCATAGAACAATTATGAGCAATTAGGTTGGCAGCACCTTTCTAAGGTCAGCGCATCAAGGCCAGAAACTATTCCAAGGGTTGCCAACCTCTCAAATACGCCAGGAGACATTTCCCGGGCAGACTCAACCTGCAGAAGACCCAAGGCTTGCTGCGGGTGCAGGGCCACCATATGAGAGGCCAGAAACTATTCCTGTGGTTGTTGACCGTCTCACATCCCAACGTAAAAGTAGTTCCTAGGAAATTATGCGCATCTTTTCTTCCTTACGAACTCTCTATGGGCGTTTTGACAACATGTTACATGTTTATTATTACAACTGGATGATGAGTTACCTTATTTAGTAGTAAGTAGTATTCTGCAAAATTATCCTCGGAAATTTGACATCAAAGGGTTTATAGCTCCTCTCAAGGAATATGATTTCCGTCAAACTTATTCCAGCAACTTACCCATCCGCTGGAATCATCATTTAGTGGACGGCCTCTCCTCTCTCGACTCTCTCTCTCTCTCTCTCTGCGTGTTCCGTTCGTCCTCTTCTCCCTTGTGCACGGCTCTTTTGGTTCCACTCCAGCGTTGGGTTTCCGCTTGGAGCTTCGAGCTCAAAAGGCTCCGATGCAAATGCGATTCTCTCCCATCTCCCTGCCTCTCTCTCCTTCTCTCTGCCTCTCCTCCTCCCCCCTCCCTCCCTGGCTCTCTCTCTCTGTCTCTCTCTCCCTCTCTCTCACCTCTCCCTCCACATCCTAGCACTTTGGATGACAATTCAATAGCAGCCGTGACAAGCTCAAACTTGGTCTGCCTCAGGCGATGCAAAGACTGCCAAGACTGCCGCAAAGACCTTGTGAGCTCACTGGGGCATTTGCCAGTGGAGTGGTCCAGTGAGTAGTCCGGACGGCTAAAAGATTTGACCTGTAATTTGGCCACAACGTCACAAAACACATGTATATATATATATATGCACAGCACATGTATGCCAGAATGTACTCGAACGTTTCTCTGTTGGAGGATGGCAGCATGACTGACATCTTGCATGGCTCTCATGCAGGCTTGGGACGACCAACAGGAGGATCACAAGGAGCCAGCAGCACCATCCTCTCCCTGGTTCACCCCTTCCTTTGCCATTGAGGCCTGACTCGCGAACCGTTGAAAGCAACCAATCTCGAATCCAGAAAGAGATCTCTTCCCCTCCTTCAGGCGCAAAGTCATGCGAGCTGATTGCGCAGGTTCCATTTGCCTCAAGATGGGCATTGTGGGTTTGAACGGTATTGAACCCTAAACGGTTTCCCTCAATTTCTCATAAGAGTTGCGCTTGGCTTTGAGCGATGTGTTGTCAGAATCGAATGGTGATGAACCAACTGACATCCCAGAATCAACTGATGGAGAGCCCCAGCGACGAAAACCCATACCGGCCCCCATGGAGACAACAAGAGTTTACAGTGGTTCAGGCCCACCTTGTGTCCAAGGTCTGATGCAGAGACGCCACCCACCAGGGCCATCAGTCGAGGGATCTCATGGTGGATCAGCTTGTTCAAGGTCTCCTGCTGGCTCCTGCAGGACCTGGCAGCGGGCATCCACGTCAAGCCGTCAAGCAGCAGCGATTGCTGCAGAAGAATTCCTCTAAAACCCTTCAAAACATCCCCATGGCCATTAAACTTGCAACATTAATGCAGGATGGCGCCTCTGGAAGCTTCGGAAGTCTTTGAAGCCACGCAAACGCTCCTTGAAGTGCTCCAAAGCCGGCATATCTCCAGCAGCAAACCTCAAGGGAAGGATGAAGCGCGCGGGGTAGAGGTTTGTCTCTGCGGTGTTTCGTCAATCTGCCCGCTTAGTCTTGATTGGGAACGATGCCCTTGCTGACTGTCATGAACTTGTGGAATTGTCGGGAGGCTGCCAGGCTGTGAGGCCAGGCGGGTAGAGGGGGAGAGCTCCGGGCAGAGCAGAGCAGCAGAACTAGTGTTCGCTCATGTTTCCGCGAGTGTTTTCGACCCACATCAGGAATTGTCCCATTTTTGCTTTGCGTCCGATTCAGTGATTCAAGTCGATATTCAGATGGGGCTGCTTCTCCTCTTTGATAAGACCGTTCTAGAAACTGTGAGGGGTTGTAAAGCCTTGAAGTGGTTCCAAAGTTGAAGATCATCTGTGGTCTGCAGGTATATTTGACCCCTTATTCCCTGTATTGAGAAAATCGGACAGAAAGTTCAAAAAACCAACAAGAACCCTCAGTGCAACCAGGGAGCTCATACTCTTTCCTCAGCCACGCAGCAAGAGGATCAATTCCGAAAAAATAAGAAGGATTGAGTGTTTCTCTACTCGTCACTCTTCACAAGAGCGGCCGGGCCTTGGCCATACCATCTTAGCTAGCATGTTTTTTCCTACAGTAGCTCAGGCTCCGGTTACAGTCTCGCCCCCCAAAACAAAAAATAGCCAGCTGAGTCGTCATGACCTTGCGTTGAAGGATGGTGTGATTTGGAAGAGCGCTCCAAGTAATTGAACACCTTGTGAAACAACGAATGCAAGGCTCTTGATCGAACATGGACAGCTTCCTCCCCAACAATCTTACTGAACTGCTCTGAGCATCATGACCTCAGCATAAACCTCCGGCAAATGTTCCGTCAACCAGCGCTGCCGTCGCTGGCGCCGCCCACACCATCCCAATGATGGGAGGCGGGCCCGAAGAGCGCAGCCTGAGGGGGAAATGGGTGAATCGCAGCAAGTCTGTCATGAGATTGAGGGTTTAAGCATCTACCGGAAGCTACCGGGCCTACTAGACTACAGTGTGGCATTTACATAGTGACGGGGAATATGCTTGGCGCCGAAAATTGCTCTGCAGCTGTGGGTCAGTAGGGAAGTCATACACAACCGACTTTCATCGACTTTCCCTAGGTACATTCTTGCGCTGGCCATGAAAATGTCCAAACCCTCTGAGGACCCTGGACAGGTCTCTCTTCGAACTTCTCCCGGAGATCCCTGCAGGGGAAGTAAAATCCCCTATTTATGACTTGAAATTGATCCCAATGACTTCCATCTTAGGCATGGTGCCGCTCATGTGGCCAGATCAAGTCATGGTATGTCATGGTCCCTCATGAAGCCAGCACCAGCTGTGATCCTCCAAGCGGCACAAGGCCAAGTGGACCTTCACTGCCCGCGCCCGCGCCACCACCTCGTTGACCCGGCGCACACAAACGTTCCGAGGCAGGTCCTTGAGCTCTTGGACAAGGTCCTTGCGGTCCTGCATAGGCTAGGTTCTTGAGTATACGACCCGGCGTGATACGACCCGGCGTGTGCTGGTGGTCCCATAGTCTCACTCTTGTTGTCCGTCGTTAGCTTTCATTGCCATCGGACATCATGCCAACAAAGCGACCGCGACTCACAAGCATATTGTATCTTGTTAGTTAAGTGTATTATGATTCTAGTCTTAGTTTGCATGCAGCACAATAGTACACGTGAACGGGAACAGATCTTACGGCATCTTCTGCCACAGCACAAAGTCCATAGTCAGGGAGTAAACGACCGACCGTGGTCCTGATTGAGCAGCCTCTCCAGGTCCTTGCATTTGTAGTCCTCATCCCAGAAAGAACCCACGTACATTCTTGCCACCTCTGGTGTTTGAAGAATCTTCCCTAAATTCCACATGAGGGCTCCATAAACCTTCACCAGGTTCTCACCATCGATCTCATCAGCTTTATTCAATACACATCGGCACTTGTCGCCATCGCCTTTGATGGACTCAATCACTTCCTTGAACTCATCCGAAATGTCCAACTTGTGAGCATCGAAGAGTAGAAGGATCAAATCAGACCTTGACGCCAGCCACCTACACACCTTCATGAAGTCGTACCCTCTGCTGATGCGCTGCTTGTCGCCTGACAGCACCCCTGGTGTATCCATGAAAGTGATCTGCTTGAGAATGTCAGCATCCTCCACCAGAACCTGAAACCTCAGTGGCGCGGCCCGGCGCGGCCTGCCAAGATGCAACAAACAACATGGGTTCACCTACAAATGACCGCCGATCGAAAGTAAAGCTATGTACAGCCTGAAGCTGTTCTCTGCAGACTAGGATCTTGCTGAGAAATGATGAGCCGAAGCGAGACAAGCCACTGTAAGGCAACTTTGGCAAGCAAGTAGCCGCATCACCATTTATGACCTTCTCCTAGCAACTCCAACGCCAGCTGGGTGGAAGGGCCGCCAATGACATAAGTTCACAAGTGATGTCGCACAAAGGTGTCTATTTACTCCCATGTCCCTCATGAAGACCCATTGGTCAAGTCATGGAGCAAATGGATGTTCTGTGAGGGTTCATGCCCCAAGCCTTTGGCAGCTGGGTCTCCACCCAGTTACCCATGGCCAATGGCCTCCAACCTAACAGCAATGGCCTCCGACCTAAGAGCGACGGCCTCCAACCTAAAAAGCAATGGCCTCCAACCTAAGAGCAATGGCCTCCACCCAGTTTGCAGTTGGGCCCCATGCTGCCCCAAATGGCCCAGCCTCATCTCCATGGACCACAGCCATGAACTTGTCGGTGCTCGGCTGCGGGCGGATGTCGAAGAAGGCGCTGTTGATTCCGGTGACCCATTTGATCAGCGAGGTCTTGCCCGTACTGTACCTTGGGTGACAAGGCAGGCTTTTCTCTTTGTTTGGCAGGTCTTGCCATGCAAGCTGCCTGCAAAACAATCAGTTGCTATAACAATTCATTCTCAGAACTCAGAAATTTGCTGTTCATATCATTTGCGCAGCCCATTCTGTTTGCACATGATCCCCTCACAGGCAAACCCTGAGAATGGCTGGAACATCGGGGTCGAAGTTCCTTAGGTTTGTTGAGCAGAAAATGGGGAGCACAACCACCCTACAGAGACGCTCACGCTGGTTTTCAACCGGTGGTAAAGTTCCTCACTCAGTTGTTCATGGTCAGCCTCACCACTTCGCCAATTTCAGGCTCATATGCAGTGCGCGAAGTTCGAACATTTGAGGCAGGAAACCGCGCTGCTGTCCAAGCCGAAGGAGAATGAGGATGAACCGTAAGGCCATCCACATCGGGTATGCCAGGTAGAAACAGGCGAAGCCACTGGAATCCTTCTGCTGGCGTGGACGCAGCCCTTGGTGATCACCGTGGGAGGTAGAAGGCCTTGGTTCTTCACCGAGATGTCTTCCCATCTCGAAATGGATTCATCCAACTTCTCTTGAGCCTTCTTCAGGTGGTCAATCTCCAGCTTGAGTTTCCTTTCGTACTCTGAGGTCCTCCCTTTGGTGGAAGGTTTGTTGTGCTCGTTTTGTACGTTGCCAATGGCCTTCGGCTTGTTGAACTTGGCCATCACGGGCATCGTTTCGAGAGCTTCCTCGGCGTATTGGAGGATGATGTTCGACTTCCATCTGCCCAGATAAGCAACTTGAGGGACTTGCCAACCTCTGCGAATGTACTGTAGAGCGCCAGATCTTCTTCCGGAGTGCCCTGAGACCGCATTGCCGAATAGCCCTCTCCACGCTGTGATGATTTGAGCTTTCTCGATGGGGCCGGAGGCATCTCCATGTACCAGTCTGTCTTCTTCGATGGGAACAGCATCTAGGGCGGCTTTGGTGATCATGAACGAGCACGGAAAGGACCAGTCGCACTCTCCTTCGCAGCAGCATTGCAGCGTCCTCTTGATCCCTAGCCCTTCTTGGTCGCCCTTTGTGATCCTCAGGTTCAAGGCCACGATGCGGTCCTTCTCTTCGATGGTGATGTCTTCCTTGTAGATGGCCGCTAATTCGACTTCCCTCAGCATCCAGGTCGTGGCAAAGGCGAACATCAGGGCGGGGTTATGGATCAGGCCCGCCTTCGGCTCATTGAACTCCTTCCTGCACCTCTCCATCCATAGCTCTTCTGGCACTTCAGCTGCTTTCTTCGTTGGCCCTTGATCTCGCTTCAGGGCCCTCGCCACTTGAGTGAAGGTCCTTTGCAGTTGGTGTGACCAAGGCGTGCCCTTCTGGATCAGGAGTCGCTTGTATTCCGACAAGTAAGCGCAGCCTGCCTTGTAGTTCGACTCCCTGAGGACCGCGCCCACTTGTTCCAGGGTCTCCGGAAGCCAGCAGTTGGCTTTGCCCCATACTCCCAACCCATCCAGGATGCCTTCCACGGTCTTTCTGATGGAGGCTTTGGCTCTTCTTGGTGAATTAGCATAGTAATTCTCACCACGCTCTGAAGAGCTTGGCTGTCTTGATGGCGGTCTTCCATTTCTATCTTTCTCCACCCCGGGAGCCCGTTTTGGGTAGTTGAGGTAGGTCAGCCCGCCTCGCCTTCGGTTTGCCCTTCCAGTGTTTCCCTTCGTGTCGAAGACGAACGCCAAGTCCCCATCGAACTCCATCTCCGGTCTTCAGCGGGTTCGCCATCAGCTCGCGGGCGCCTGCCGCAGGTGGAGGTTTCTTCTGGGGTGTGGCGCAGGCGAGTGGCCTCTTCTTGTTTCTCCTGACCAGGTTCAGCAGCCCCGCGCATTCACCATCTCCCACTCCCCCAAGTAAGGAGGGAGGATCAGGCGGGAACTTGTGCGCTCCTTCCTCGCCTCTCGTAGTAGCCCCACTCAATGAACTGTTCTCCCAATCACCTTCTGGATCGGGTTCGCGTGCCTTTGTGCCCATGAGGTACTCGACGGTCGAAGGTTCATCGTCCATGTACGTCATTTCCGGGCAGTGGTCCTTGGAGTTCAGCCTCCTGGTGACTAGCCACGACATGCCCTCCAATTCTCTGACGGTTTCCCTCAGCAACGGCGAATTGACCATTGGAGCGAAGTCTCGTCGAGCTTGGGGTCGGGGTGTCCAAATCCGTCACTGCGGAGGTCGTCTCCCTCCCTTCTTCTGGAGTATGTCCCATGCGGTCCAATAGGCGAGCCCAAGGCCTCGGTTGCGGACTCCGGATGGTCCATGAAGGAAGGTTCACCCTCGCGTCCTTGTTGTAGTCCATGTCCCAAGGCTCCTCCCACTGGTTGTCTTCTGACTCCGCCCCGTTCTGCTCGTCTGGGTGTACCCGGAGGTCGGCAGCAGCGCCAGCAAATCCAGCACAGGAGGGCGTGGCCTATCGCGCTGGTCGCGATGAGGTAGAAAAGCAAGTAGACCAGCCGTGCACGAACCGGCACGGGTCCGTCGGTCGCCAGGACCGTTGGGGCAGATCGGACGGCGAGCTCCATCTTGATCCCAAAGCATGGCTAGATGATCTGGCATTCGTCCTATACGAGCCGAACGAACGAACGACGAACCGTGGAGGAAAGGTTGGTGTATCCCCGCCCGAGCCTTTCGCGAAATCGCACCTTATTCAGCTCGATGGCTCCCGCTAGTTGCGGTGTGCCCAGGCTGCCAGCATGGCTTCAGTCTCCTGCCAGGCCGCTGTGTCCGGGCCCGGCGGTGGGAGTCTGTACCATTCTGTCGTCCGCTCAACTGGCGTTTCGACTTGAATGCCTTCCAGAGCGCTCGGCAGCGATGTGGATTTCCAGGTGTCCGGGCGCGATAAGAAGTCGGCTTCTTTGTTCGCAGTCCCCGGGAGGTGAATCGGGTTGAGCCCCAATGCTTCACATGTGATGGCGAGCTCTGCTCCGAGGTAGTTCAGGGTGGAATTGCCGTTGGAGAACTTCTAATCTGACTGAATGTTGATGGCCACATCACCGGGGTGAGGAGTTTTCCCCAGTGCTTGAGAGCGGCGAGGATAGCCAGCGCTTCCACTGCACCTTGTGAGCTGGATTCACCTAAGGCGAAACCCAGCGTCTTGGCGGTCACCCGGCCGTTCACCAGGAGGATGGCGCCTAACCCCAACGGGGATGCGTCAGTCATCAAGGCGACTTCGGCTTTGCCACTCTTGTAGAGGTTGTACTTCCTTATTGGTTTCTCCTTCGCCGCGGCCAGGTACGTCAAGAGCCACTGTCTAGCCCTCTCCGCTCGCTTCACCGGGATCATGGTCCCTCGGCCGATCATCTTGGCGTTTTGCTCTCCTCTCAGCTTCCGCCCCACTCGACTGGTCGGCCTCATGGGAGTAGAGGACAGCGTAGAGCGTCGAAGTGACCCACACGCGTCCCGCTGCTTGTCTCAGCTCGCTGACCCCTATCATGCCCTTCCTGTCCCAGGCTTCGAGTTGTTTGCGCAGCTCATCCATGAAGCGCTCGGGGAGTGTGACCATGAGGTAGTCATAGTCTGGGGCGACCAGCTTGAACTTCACCCCGATCCAGGTCACATCTGTAGATCGTTCCCCTTTCTTCAGTGACAGGCGTATAGGCCGAGGGCGGCCATTGTAGTGAGGATGCAGCCCAACGTCCGATTTCGGGTTGCCAGCCTGCCGCATAGTACCCAGAGCGAGTCATCCAGGTACCTGGCGCATGCCCCTCTCCGCCGGGATGATGGACTGGATGAGCCTGGCTGTCATAGCGGCGACCCTGCTCCATGTCAGTGGAGCCGTCTTGTAGCCAAAGAGAAGCGCCACGAACAGCAGCCAGTGTTGTGAATCCAGTGCCGGTGCCGAGCAATGCCCCTTCTCCTCCTCCGCTATGGCCAGGTGCATGAAGGCGTCCGACGCGTCTATCAGCACCATCTCCATCGTCTTCTCCTGCGGCGTGGCCTTGTCTGCATGCATGGCGTGCATCTTCCTCAGCGTTGCAATGGCGTCCGATGGCCTCGGGAGGATCAACCGCTCGGGCAGCACCGCTTTGCTGTTGCCCCCTGACCTCCGTAGGTCAATTATGATCCTCCTCTTCTTGGATCCATCCTCCTTCTTCTTCACGATGAGGCCCAACTTCGAGACCGTGATGCCCTTGAAGCCTGCCTCCTCCGCTTCCGTCTTCTCTATGGGGATGGCGTAGCCCTGAACCACCAACCGGTTGATCTCCACCTTCGCGTCTTCCGCTTGATCTCGAACCAACGTGTAGTTCCCGATGTCTTCCCTGAGGCTTGCCAATCGTCCTGTCTCGTAGGAGAGTCTTGCTTCAAGGCGGGTGGAAAGATGTTGCACGACTTGATGTCACGGTTGATGCCCAGGGGAACGCCGAACTTGATCCACTTCGGGACTTCCACTTCCGGGTCGTTGCCTCGCCTTCCCCATGCTTCGTACAAGCCCTGGTCAAGCGGCGAGGTGTAGTTCCACTTTCCTTTCAACTTCACGGTCGGCGCACCCTTCGCGCCTGTCAGTTTCCTCAACTCTTCCTTCCACTTCATCACCCATTTCTCCTCCAGGACACATTCAATTGCGCCGTATGTCTCCGCGACCTTCAGGCAGTGGGGGTAGTGGTTGCAGCGCCTTTCCCAAGCTCCCAGAATCCTCCGCCCCAAATTCTGCAGCGTGGGGAAGCCTTCTACCACCTCTGCAGGGTTCTTCACGCCACCCACGAACATCTGCTGGTCGAATTTCTGTTCTTTCTTGGTCTCTTCCCGCAACAAGCCGTACCTCCCTTCCCCTGCTTTCCAACTCAAGTCCTTCTTGTCGACGTCCTTCCGGCCTGCTTCGGGTACCTCTTCTCTGCCAGCTGACCTCGGCCTTTTGCGTCCCCTTCGCGCCGAACATGATCTTCCTCTCGATCGGTGTTTGACCCTTCTTTCACTCTTCTCCCTGCTGCGGCTTTTCTTCGGCGGGCTCCTGTCTCCTCGGAGTTCTTCACGAATTCGTTGAGGTAGTTCTGATGCCGTTGCGTCTAGATCACAACTGCTGCGGGCTAGTCCTGGTTCAGGCGACGGGGACAGTTTCACGCCTTCCGTTCTCCTCTTCGTTCTCATCTCCGTGGTGGCCGCATCTCCTGAAGACAGCCCGTCATGGAACTGTTCCAACTCCTTCATCCTCCCCTCCAGGAACTCCGCCGTTGCCATCTTCTCGAAATGGTCCATCAGCAGGAGAGCATACTTGTTGCATAGTGCCCATGGGTACTCGCCAGACTCCTGGGAGGCCCTCTTGCCGATGATGGCCTTGTGCCTGGCGTTGCCGCACTTGCATGAACCGTTCATCTCCTCGATGCCGAAGAGGGTGCCCGCAAATTGTTGTGGCTTCCAATGTCGGTCACCTCGGGCTTTGTCGGCTTGATAGGCGCAGGTGTTGAAGAGGGAGATCTTCACGCCAGGCAAACGAAGGAACCGCACCATTTCAGCCATGCCCCAAGCGGACACGTGGTCCTCATGCTCCGACGGCGGCGGGTTTTCCATCGTCACAGGCTTGACCACAATGGCTGTCGTTGGAGTCTTGGCGATTTCCTCGGCTATGTGAGTTGAACGGGCCAACGTCACTGTCCCTCTATCGCACTCCCGCCGCTGTCTTTCGTCATTCGACTTGCAGCCGTAGGGTTCAGACCTGGTTCGAACTGGTTCTGGAAGTCCTTCAACTTGCCTGAACCTCAAACGGGAGTACGTCGAGCACGGGAAGCCTGAGTGGTACCCGTCGATGAGTCCATCACGGGCCCATTGAAGGTGGGTGTTGTAAGGTTCGTCGGCGCACAGGTCCTCACCCCAATCCTTCTCGGTGGAGATGACTTCGACCTTGAGGTCCCTCTTCTTCGCGATGCGATGGATCTCACCTCCCAACGGGTCCCTCGGGCCTGCAAAGTGGTGTAAGAACCTGAACTTCCTTGCATGCACGTAGTCGTAGATCTTCTTGTCCATATCTTGCTTTATCTTCTCCTCCTCACCCTTCCCCTTCTTGGGATCTCCTTTTTCCGGATCGTCTGCATTCCCTTCGTCGCCTCGATCTCCATCACCTTGAAGTCCCGAGCTCCGAGCGCCTACTTCTTGTTGGTGCATCTGATCGCAGGGTGACCCGGCGACCCGCACGTAGAGCACTTGTGCGCCCGCTTGGTGGAATTCGCGCACTCCGCACCCGGTGGCAAAGAGCCACATGGCGAGTTCCCGTTGTTCCAAGAGAAGCAAATACTCTCGGAGCCTTTGCTGTTCTTCCCCTGCTTCCCGCCTCCTTTGCTTCTTTGACCTCGATCTGCTCCTGAATCTCCGCGGCTTTCTCGGAGTCGTTGGAGTTCTTCTTTTTCGGACTGCCATTTCCGCTTCTTCGCTTCTTTTCGGTCTCTGTTCGCTTGTCTTCTCCCTGAGGATGAGGCCACGGGTGAAGTGGATCCGTAGGTACCAGACTCCATCATGGGTTGAAGTGCCTCCAACCCGCTCCCTTGCCCGGTCGTCTCCTGAGGGGCGAGCATTCGTCCACGTGCGCCTGACGCCAACCACGTGAGGGCTGGAGTATGAATCTGGTCCTGCCAAAACTTCAGTTCCCCCGTGACCTGTTTGAACACTGTTTCCCATGGTTTCTTCTCGTCGAAGGTGAGGGGCGGTGCCTTTCCCTCCTTCGTGTCCAGGACGATCTTCAGCTTCAACCGTGACAGGACTTCGGACCTCGCCATCTCGTCCGCCGAGTACACCAGGTGCCAAGCGTCCGGGTAAAGCCTCGTCAGCTTCTCCACGAAGAGCTCGTAGGCGTGAAGAGGTGCTAGAGAGCTCTCCTGCAACATGATCATCGCCGTCGTGAACACCCTGTAGCAGGCACGCCATTGGGTGAAGTTGGCCGGCCCCGGAAGCTCCTTCGACACGTAGCCGTCCGCAGTGGGTATCCATGTCCTGTATTTCGAAGCTCTCAAAGCCTTCCTTCCGAACGGAACGAACACCCCGAAGTCGCAGTACGGCGGTTTGCCAAGGCTCAACTTCTTTCGATGCGCTGACAGCTGCTCTATCATTGGTTCTTCTTCTTCTTCTGGAAGTGCACCTGTCGTGTTGATGAACTTCTGGAGCAGAGCCATCTTGTCCTCTTCGTTCAGTACCTCGAATTCCCCATCGTCCCCCTGATCGAGGACTTGGGTGAACTTGAGAGTCCTCTCCTTCGTGTCCTTCTTGATGTCGACGGTCGCTGAGGCCCTCGCAGCAGAACTTGGCGGGGGTGTCGCCGTGCTCCATGGGCCTTCCTCGGTCCAGTCGTCCCAGCGTCCACCTCCTCGAACAAACATCAGCCGCCTCGCCAATTTCCAGACCAATCCCACCTGGGCAGCTTGGATAGCCGTAAGATGGGCGTTGTCGGCCAAGGTGGCCTGCGTCAAGCTGGCCGCCGCCACCGGCCCCGGAAGGGCCGCTAGCAACCTGAGGTCGTCGCCAGGATTGCCAGCTTCGGCTGTGAAAGCATTCCACAGTCCCTCCTCCACCTCGAAGTGCGTCAGCAGCTCGGAAACCTTCGTCATCGCATGAGCCGCTTCCGCTGAAGGAAACATACCAAGCCACCGCGAGGCACCACCACATGGCACCCAAACTAAAGGAGTGCTGAGTGGCTTGAGCCAACATGGCATTGCCACCCAGCACTCCCCACCCAGTGCTCCAAAAACTTGTCATGCGGAAAAACTTCGTTTTGCCTTCAAAACAATTCAGCCCATTTCAGCCTCGCCGCTGTCCGATGAGGAGCACTTGAGGCCGTGCCTCCAACTCCGAGACTGTGAGCACCGCATCATTGAAGTGCCCAAAGGAACTCTCTAATTCGATGGGCCTTACAGACCATCTGAATGTCACACGGGCGGACCATGAAACATATGTGCCAACAAACATTTGCACATGCCTGAGCTTTTCTTTCTGCGTAATTAGAGACAATGGCTAGGAAACTCATCGAAAAGGTTCCGCGACAAAAGCACATCGAATGGCCCACATCTGCACCTTAGCAGGTCCATGTAGAGCGTCTTAAGGTTCTGAACCACCGTCCTGCCAGATTCGTTTTGGGATTTTTGGGGATCGTAGAAGGAGAGCTTCCTAGTAGTAAGGCCAGGAGCCCCTAGTAGCATCCTTGCTCCTAGTAGCGATGCCAGGAGCCCCTAGTAGCTTCATTAAAATCAGCTCTAGGACTAGGACTCATTGGTTTCCTTGGTTCCGATGCACATCCATGATGAGTCACCAGTCTCAAGCCCCGACTGCGCTGCTTCTGAGCGTCTGATCCCAACTTCTGTGCTGTTGATTTGAGGCATTCGTCGTATGGCCAACCCGGGCACTGGGATCATGTTTGCATCCAGCCTCGACATCCCATCAGTGAGGCCATTGTCTGCCACCACGGCCATTGTGCAGGAGGAACGAGGGCTGATAGGTTTTACAAAGACACACTGAGAGGGCCAAGGCTACCAAGACTTGAGGAAAGTGACTATCTCACTCCAGTGAAAGTTTCATAGGCAAGAACATATCGCCTCTTTCGATCGAAAATAAGGCTGCTTCTCCCCTCATTCAGCCCGTGTTGTTCCTCTTGACCGTGTCAGCTGAATCATCAAAATGTAAGGTTTGCAAATCCTTGAGTTTGTCAAGCACAGCTGTGGTCTTTCCATGTTTTTCAGTCAAGGAAGCAATCAGCACAGTAACACCTGAAGCCGTGCACTTGGCACTGTTTTGAAGGCCATGGGCACTGTGCATGCATTTGCTCCACAGAAGCGGGCCTACACTCTACACATTATGCACTTTGGGCTGTGGCCCAGGAAGCAGGCTACAGCCTGCGCCAGCTGCAGGCGACATTGAACATTAATTTGGATTCCAGGCATCTGGAGACATCTGCCCCGATGAGGTGAAGACTACAAATCTAGATCTCACTAACAGCTGCCCATTGTCACAGGCTTACGTCTTCACCCGGCTTTACCTTGAATGGTTATGGGATGTCACGCGTTTCTCCTGATCCTTCCATGGCTGGCTTGATTGGCTCAGGGTGGCGCAAGCAGCGGCAGCCAGGGCACCCTGCAGTCAGTCTGTGATGGAGGGGGTACTGGGCTGCCAGCAAAAAAGAGTACGGCGGAGAGGTTGAGGAAAGTGGTCCCCTCAGCCCATTTACTAACCTGCCTACTCTCGAAATTCCATTGGGCCAAGGATATTAGCATGGCCTCGTCAAAGGGACCTTTTTTTTGGACTCAGCGCTCTATTCTTTGCTCCGGATCGGGTCGGAGAGCCCAAATGGAAGACATGGAAATGGCTATCTGCAGGATCGAGGAATTTCTTCGTACCTCAGCCAAAGTTCCAAGATCTTTCAGGGCCCTGTGTCGTTGCCAGCGGCAGCCTCCGGAAAGCGGTGAATAACCGGTGTTGTCGAGATGTTTTGAGAACCTCCGTGACCCGCCTTCAAGAACAGCTCCCTCATCTCTTCAGTGGCCCACCGGGAGCACGACACAATGCCCCCACGCACGCGGAAGCGTCCTTAGCTGTGAGACAGCCATCTGGGCGTCGCAGAAACGGTCTTCAACGGGTCACTCCAAACGTTTTGGACCGTTGATGAACTCTACGCCCAGCAGCGGCCAGGAAACTCCACCTGGGCGACGGTTTCTCGTGTGAGGGATGAGTTGGCCCAAAAGAGATAAAAGAATGGACAGTGCGTGGTGCATTGACCAACACTGGCAGTGAGTGGTGCACTTTGCATAATTCCAACATTCTCCAACTTTGACACAAAGAGACTGGCGCGGAATCAAAGTTCTGGTCAAAATCAACCAAAGCGGCTGACAAGCCAAAGGCACTTGCTTTGAAATCGAATCGGTGACTGTGGCTGAGCCACCAGATTCTTGGACACAAAGCACTCCGCCTCAAACCAGCCCAAAAGCCGACAGGTTTGTGCAGTGCAAAAATCATGGACTTGGCTCTGCTTAACGGTGATACGGATGGTTGTCCAATCTTTGGGAACGACTTCGCTTGTACTTCGTTGCGTTCAAGGAGCAGGCATGATCCCAAGTCTTCAAATTCTCCTCGTACTGGACCTGAGAGGCTTGATTGTGCTCCCTGGCTTCGGATCAAGAATGCAATGCAAGCCATATGGCCCCCATAGTGCAGACAAGATTGCACAAGTACAGTAACTAGTTGTCTCCCGGGATTGATCCCGACATGAGCACACATGTCCATGATTAACATATCCAAGCAAAGCAACATAGCCACTGTGGCTGCCAGCTGCCACGGCAAAATACTTGACCATGGAGCCGCAGCACCTCAACAAAAAACAGGATGAGTATATAAATTAAACCTCAAAAAAGTTGACAAAATTATGGCAGTGGCAACCCAGGCGCAGCTCAGATGCCCAAGCCATCGAGCCAAAGGGCCTGATGTAAAACGTGTCTCGTTCCGGATAAGACCGAATACACCCAAAGAGAGGCACGGGAAATTGCAACATGCCACGTTCAGCGGATTTGGGAATTGGTTCGAAATAGGATGACCTCTTGAAAGTTCCCACCTGCCTACATTCATCGCGGGTGCTTTGAGGTGACAGCAGCCATGGAGGGTAGTCCACACCTGCGGCAACTCATGCTCGTGGGGCATCCAGAGGCTTTGCCGCTTTGCCCTACAGCAGCGAGAGTTGGAATATACAGTATATATATATAATTAACACACATATGTAACAAATATTTACATAGAAGGCCGAGGCATCTCAGTAGAGAGCAAGTGACAATGGAAGGAGCAACATCGACGAAATCAAGCTGAATCATGCTGAATCTATAAAATAGTGTAATACGAGACCGCATAACAAAATCCAGAATCGGGCCTTCTTTGGGTTCAGGGACTGAAGTCGGCAGCGTGAAGCCTGAGCAGCACAATAGTGGAGAAAAGGGCTAACAGCAAAGAAAGGTGAGGCTTCAGGAACAAACCCAGCCTCGACTGGCCCAATCTGGCTTGCTGGGTTCAAACTCCACTGGACCACCGCTGCTGGCCCACCAGGATAGGCCATGGCCTGCCACCTCAGCCCGGCATCAGTTGAAAGTGAACAGGTTTGCGTAAAATGGCCCGAGCTGCTCGCTGCAAGCATGATGGGAGGTGTGGACACGGCCTTGGCTGTGCTTCACTCAAGCAGAACGTGAGCCAATGAGCGAAGTGCTGATGGGTGCTGGCATGCCTCATTTCAATTCATTTCAAGCGTTCCCGCAAATAGTATATATATAAATATACATAACCGCCAAGCAGCATTCGGATTGCCTTGCGAGGCAACTGTGCACACCAATGGGAGCAATAATGAGCAATATCAATTGCCAGTGTTGTGCAAAGACTTTTCTATGCGTATTGACGAACAGGGTGCCCAAAAGGCCTAGGGTGCCAGCCAAGAGGCCCATGACTCCAAGCAATGGCTTCCCAGCCACCGATAGAGATAAGCCAATCACATAGCCCTGGCCCGTCACGAAGCCTTTGGTGCCATCGATTGGATCAAGGACCTGGTCGTAGACACTTAGCTAGGTCCAATGACTCCAAAGGGCCTGTAGCCCAACCATGCCCAACCATGGCCACTGACTGATTCAGCTTGCTTGAACGAGATCAAAGTCCAGCCACCCACACACGCTGCTGGCCATTGTCCGGCTCCAGGCCAGAATCGACACTGGTCAAGAACTCCTCCTTGCTAACGTGACCACCTCCACACGATCAATGCTTAATAAAAACATGTACAAACAAAGAAAGACACGAGACTCACAAGACTTCAAAAATCTTCAAAGCGTGCCAACTCAGGGCATCGCCAAACCTTGAGCAAAGGTCCTTGGAGAAATCTGTCAGTGGAGCTCAGGGGCCGGACACGTGGCTTCTGTCCACCAAGTATCCAAAGCCAGGTTGCAAAGCTCGGGTTTTTCCCGAAGCTCTTTTGAATCCTCTTCACCCATGAAGCGATCGGCTGGAAACCTGCATCGTTCAAGTCAGGGCAGTATACCATTCACTCCATTCACACTCGAGGCACCGGAGTTGTTCAAACGTGCACGCTTCGATAATCCCATGCGAGGGGCTGTTGCTTCAAAGCAGCTGCCACCAGGCCCTGGATTGCATAATCTGCGGCAGTCACTGGAGTGGAGTCACCTACCGGCCATACTACGTTCCTGGACGCCCAACACATGACCTGACCTGGTTTGGTCTGTCCATATGCACAATGAGATGCAACCTGTCGGAGCAGCGTGCGCTGACCACCTTAAATGAGGGGCAAGCCTTGGAACGGGTCAAAAGCATCACGCCCAACAACACGCTGTCTTTGATGGAGTTATGATAGCAGGATCATGTTGCATCGGCTTTTGCATTGGTTGTTGCAGCGTTTTCGAAGGCGCCTGAAAATCAACACGGGTGGGATCGGGTGAGCTGTTTTTCAGCTGTAAGCAACGTTGCATCATGAATCATGAGTGGCATCCACAAACTCGGCCACCACATGATGTTTCAGATTCACATGAACAAGAAGAAAACAAACCACTAAAATAAGAAACAACCTCTTCCAATTAAAATGTCCTGCATGATCCTGTACGTAGAGGAGGTTTTACGACATGCATATGAGCATGCTATTGCGCATGCCGGCGAACGACGTACGCGGGCAGGTTATTGTGGTGCAATCGAGGCGGATGCTAATATCCCCAACTCCCCCTACCAGCACGCCACATTACATGCCACACGCAAGGAACACCTATATAGCGTCGTGCGCACAATCATAACGTTGCGGAACTCTATATAAGTGACCAAATGAAAATGTTCAGTTCATACAAAAAATAAGCATTTGCTTGCCATGAATGCACGCATGTCAAAACGACATGCAGAACACGTGGCAGGCGGCAGGCGTGGTATTTGGTGCACTTCCGAAAACCTCCGCTTGCGAACCGTGTTTCAACTGACAGGCGCGGAGAAAAAAAGAGGCTAAACTCGCGGGGCGTGTGCAAACGCGCATCATTACAGGCCCACGGGGCCTCAAACAAACTCACGTGGACGTGAAACTCTTCATGGTTTATCGCGCCTGGCTTGATTTCAACGATGCCAGCCATGCCAGCCGTCACATCACAGCCTTCCATCTCCTTTCCCAATGAAGGTGGAGCTACCTCAGTGAAATCCCGGTAAGTAAACGCCCTTAACTTAAGATATTATCATCCTCAGAAAATTTACACCGGCGTAGACCCTAGATAGCGGGTACAAAAGCGGGTGTATAGAGAAAGAGCTCATGCGCCTTCATTCCCAATGTCCGACGACTTTCGTTGTCACTGAGAGTTGCCAAGGGCACCGCTCACCTTGCCAGGGATGACATCATGTCATGCCAAGGGTGACACCTGTCAAGGCAGGGACGATATGGTGCCGGACGCATTGATGCATGAATTGCCTTGTGGTTTGCATCGTTCCCGTGTCAAGCAAGGGACGACATCATGTCATAGGTGCCCCCGCCCCGCCCTTCTCCAGCCTTCCCTCACCTCCGCGCTGACTGCCCGCTGGACAGCACAGCAAGCATTTGCAACCTCCCTCACTGACACCTCGCAAGCCCTAGCCAACCACAACAACTTGGAAGGCAACGACCCGACCATCAGCACCGTCCCCTGGCCGAAGCCCCCCAACACCCCACCCGGCCAGCAGACCCCCCCCCCCCCAAAGCCAAGGGTTTGGATTGATCCCCTTCCCCAAGCACATCTGGAGACTGGCCAGTATAAACACAGTCATCAGCAGCCGGACATTCTGCGAGAAAAAGGTGCGGAAGAAAAGAATGACATCATCAGGCTTTGCCAGGGACCAGCACCAGCACCAGCACGCCCACACAAAACGCCGCTCCAGCAGCAGCAGCAGCAGCAGAATAGGCACCAGCACCAGCACCAGCACCCGCACCAGCACGTGCACCAGCACGCCCCAAGAAAACGGGCACCAGCACCCCCGAAGGTGTACCCGGATCATTTTGGCACCTCAAAACGGATCATTTTGGAACACGGATCATTTTGGAACACAGAGGAACCGAAAGCCCAACGGGACTGCAGTCTGACACCAGCTTCGCGGATCATTTTGGAACATACGCTTCGAAGGCATCATTTGCTAGTGAAAATGCGTGCTTCGTACGAGACTTCCTCCAAAAGCAAGCCGCGCAAGTCTCCAAAGCGAGCCGCGCAAGTCTCAACGAGCGTTTCGTACGAGACTGCCTTCAAACATGAGTACTGCGCGTCTCCAAAGTGAGCGTTTCGTACGAGACTTCCTCCAAAAGTGGACTTCCTTGAGCTGCGCAAGTCTCCAAAACGATCGCTTCGTACGAGACTTCCTCCAAAAGTGAGCCGCGCAATGCTCCAAGAGGAGCGTTTCACGCAAGCCCTCATCAAAACAAGCGCGTCGTCCCGGACTTCCTGAAAACATGAACATTGCAAGTCTCCAAAGTGAGCGTTTCATACGAGACTTCCTCCAAAAGTGAGCCGCGCAAGTCTCCAGAACGAGCGTTGCATACGAGACTTCCTCCCAAGGTGAGCCGTGCAAGGCTCCAAAAGGAGCGTTGAACGCAAGCCTTCATCAAAACAAGCGTGTCGTCGGAGACTTTCTTCACGAATGAACATCGCACGTCTCCAAAATGAGAGTGTCATATGAGACTGGTGTTATGCAAGCTTTGCTGCTTTAGGATGTCTTTGGGCTTGACTTAGGGCTTCGCTTCTTTAGGGTTTCTTTTGGTGTTGCCGTGGGCTTTGCTTCTTTCGGGTTTCTTTTGGCGTTGCTTAGGGCTTTGCTTCTTTAGTTTCTCTTTGGGCTTGACTTAGGGCTTCACTTCTTTAGGGTCTCTTTTGGTTTGGCTTAGGGCCTCGCT